ATTCTTCTTTGCTCGAATCTTTCAATACATTTTTTTCTCTCGTCTTTTTCAGTACGAAGGGAAAAGTGTTGAACTTAGATGATCGACTAAAAAATATTATTTTTAACCATTTTCAAATGATACTTTCGATTTCCATTAAAACGTTATAAATAGCAAGATGAATTAAAAAGAGAAGACTATTTCTTTTTCGTAGATATTCGAAAAAAATGTACAGAAACGTGTTTAAACAAACTTTGTTGCTTATCATTTGTTGTTTAATAAATAACTTCTATAGAGCTTTATGATTTCTCTATTTATTTTATAGTTTACTTTCAATTGCCTTCGTCTACAATTTTTAATGAAATTTTCATCTGTTCTCGACGATAATAATGAAAGGAAAATTTTCCTATTTTATAAATAATATTATTATATTAAATAATAGGAATATAATAATATTATAAATAATATTATATTCCTATTTTATAAATAATATAATTATTTTATAAATAATATTGTGTTCATTACATAATTTAAAAAGAATACGATTCTAAAATGAATGAAATTCGAAATTCGTATAAAATGTAAATTAAATTATAATATTATAATTTTATATTTTATGATTATTCTACTCTATTTTATTGTATTTAACAATTTTATTTCATATGTTAAATACGTATTGAACGTTATATTTTACTACATTTATAATTTATGTTAGTTCATAGTTCATGAAATTACAAATTACAATTTGTGTTATATATTAAATAATAAATTTACATTTTATAATTATTTTATTTCATTATAATTTATAATATTATATTGTTGATTGTAATTTGTGTACAAGTATGTAATCGCCGGGGAAAAATGTTAAATCGTTCGCGAAATATTCGAGTTATTATTAATACGTATGTAGCAAATACATAGCAGCCGTCCTGAACCGGTTGAATGGAAACGTTAGGTTCGATACATTTATTAAATACGTTAGCGTGTGCTCAATGATTTTTCTTTTCTCGTTCGATGGCAATGCTATTCCTTTAACATTCACCATTTTAGTTCGACTGTAATTAATTTTTAATTTCGTTCTATTTCTCTCACCGAGAAATGCAAATATGCAAGACTTCGTTCTGTACGAACGAAAGTTTAGAATTACTTGAATGACGTAGGTTTGCCAGCGACGATTTTTAACAGCAGCTTTTTAAGTTTGAATTTTGTCTCGATAGAAGTATGCTATGCTAATCAGTTAAACGTTGTGAAACTATACGCAGTATACACGCAGTGTAATATCTGGCCGCGATTTTGTCCTGTATACAGTAGATACTTTAACTCGTTTAGCATCATCAACTCTCAAAAGCTAATAGTATGATAGTCATTATTTCCCCCTTTGCCACGTACGTATATTTGTGTCTATTATTCTTGTATTCACTTTACAGATTTGTAAATACATTGGGAACACAAAGGGTGAGCTATCTAACGTTAGAATAGTAAACTTTTCTGGTAATTAGAGTGGAGGACAGAAGGAAGTTTAAACACGAGATAATCCATGATTTTATAAAAATGGAGTAGTGTGATTCAAGAAAGTATTCAAATAATTATAGCAGAGAAATTTCTTACATTGAGAATTCTGTATTAGAATTACATTAAGAGATATTGATAAAATTTGAAACTTATCTAGAAATGTATATAAAAATTACAAGATATTTCTTGCAAATATATAAAATATAAGATTGCAAATATAAAAATATAATACGTTATACTTAACAAGAAATTAGTATATGACATGGGTAACTATCTCTAAAAGGTATACATATGATAAGTATTGAATATGCATTAAATATCTTTTAATTTCTATATATATTTTTAAATTTGTTTCAGTGACTTGATCAATATAATCTCGATAGTATGGGCTTATTATATTGTTAAAATGTTTTATACAACGTAAATAATATATTCATATAAACTCTTAAATACTTTGTGAACAACTATGTAGCTATGAATGTTGATAGAAAAAAAAATAGAGCATACAGTATAAAAATTACTAACTTTTAATATTATATAGATAAATACCAGTTTCAAATTTTCTTTTGTCCACCACTGTGCAATGACACGAGAAAAAAAAAACATTTAACAAGCAGAAAACTCCCAAATTTTTGACCGCCGATTATAATGCAATTTTTTTCTTTTATTTCAGGCTTCTTTTTTTCTTTTACAAAACCATCCACTGTTCAGTAACAGATATTGAATAGTTTCATTGTTATTTGCTTTGAAATATTTTATATATGGTATAATGCAAGAGTGAAAGTTACAGAAATGCATATAATACATAAAAATGTATATGTAATATTTAAAATAGGGTATCATAATAATAATATACACTAGACAAAACAAATTTCTATTTTATCTTCTTTTGTTTTACTGATCGGTGACAGATGTTGAGTAGTTTTATGTTATTTGCTTTGAAATGTTTTACACGACCAAAAAATGTATAGTATAACCGAGAAGACGATGATTTTATGTGCAAAAGTAAACCGAAAATATAAAATAAAGTTGTCCAGTGCAAAATTTGATAAATTCAAGGGTGCTTGGCAAATTTTCAAAAGTCGATTCCTTTGAAAACGAAATCTTGAATAAGTAGAAGAACTTGGACAATTATTATTAAATATTATTAAATTATACAAATTATTATTAAATGAAAAGTATACAAAAGTAAAATCAGTAAATAAATGACAAGTTTATATAAAAAGAGACAACGAATTAATTTCCACATCTAATAGAATAAAATCGTTCTGTACTTCTGTCTAATATGAAATTTGATAAATCCAAGTACACTTGGCAAATTTTCAAACTCGACTTTTTTTGGAAATGAAATTTTTAAGTAGGACAGTGTTAGTCTTTCTTTTCGTTTTATTTCTACATATAAAATCATTCCCTATTCAGTTATATACCATGGAAACTGGTTCGTTCTATATATGCACATATGCAGATATTGTCAATATATAGATGTTGTAACAGTTTTTATTTTCAAAAATGTCTCCTTTTGTTTGCAAAAATCATATGCGATTATATTAAAGAAAAGAACAAATTATTTATTTAAGTAACTTAAATAAGTAATTTATTTAAGTTAACTTATTTGGTATATTTTAACACACACGATTAATTTAACTTCAAAAATTGTCTCTTGAAAGAATTTGACACTTTTCTTTCCATGGAAGTATTTTATGTCATGAAATTATTTTTTATTTAATGTACATGAAGTGGAATTGAATAACATAATTTAGACGAAATTAATAACCCAAGAACAAAACCAAAAAATGACAACTTAATATAAAAAAAATAACATTGATTTGTTTAAGAAACAAGTAACATAAAACTTTCATGAATCTGCTACCATGTGAGAATTGATTCCTTCACGGTGGAAGAAGTTGTATTAAAATCATCATTAAAATAAGAATCTTCTAAGAAGAAAAAGATATTTCTTGTAAGAGATAAATATTACGATGAAGTTAGAATTTATTTTTATGGATTTCCTAAAATTGTTGATTCACATTGAAGTTTTTTTTTAAAATAAAATTATACATTCTTTAAGTTACAAGTGTAATTATGAAATTCTATATAAACTTCATGTAGTTTATAATCCTTTTTATAATTCTTTATTGAAATTTACACTTGAAGTTAAATAAAAAGAAAAAGATATGATTGAAGATGAAAAAATTGTATTGGTCCTAACAGGATAACTTCGTTTGTTTAAGTTACAATTTTATTTGGAAAATGAATGCAACTCAAATGAAAACATTAAAGAGGAACATATTGTCAAAAAAAGTCAACAACGTAGATAAAAATTTTTTTCTTTAATAAACACATAATTTTTTTTATATACATAATGCCATGTGTATTTTACATTTGTACAATGCATGTACTTTAATACTTAATAAAACTTATTATATATATAGATCGTTCAGATCAGTTTTATTTAAAAACTTGTAAGATGTTGAAAATTGTGAGTGTCTCCAATTTAATAGCAAATTTTGCAATTTAATAATAATAAAAATGCGATACAAAAATTGACGATACAATGAACTGGTTGGTCATTTTAAAAGCTTCATTAAATTCATTGTAATGTATGTAGGGATTGAAAATTATTCTCCTTATTTAAGAAAAATTCTTCCAGTATTTATTTTTTAATTTTTAACTCAGATTATCGTATATATTCAGTTATTTCTTTCTACGCAATAGCATATGTGTTTAGTTATTAATAAAAATACGTATTTAAAGTGCGGAATGTTATTTTCTATTTTGTACACCTTATACATTACTAAAGTAATACTGCAGAAATCAATATTTTTTACATTTCATGTAATTTCAGTATTGAATAAAACAATAATCGTAAAGGTATGGATAACAATAATATAGTAATTCGCAGTTGATACAAAATAATTGTATTTTCTACAAGGAAAACTATAGCGTTTTTCAGCAGTGAATTTGTCTGTTATGAATTCAAAATTGAAAGTATTTTTGACTCAGGATTTATAAGAATTGCAATGTGTCGATTCAACTAAAACGTAAAATGTAACTAAATTGAAATATTTCTATGGACACGAGATACTTAATACTTTCTCTATTTAACACCCAATTTTATTATGTTACGAAAAAGGAAAAAAAAAATGCATTCTCACGAAACTATCAAAGTATCTTTTTACCTAAAACTGTAACAACTCGAAACTATCAAACTATCTTTTTACCTAAAACTGTAACAACTCTTCCAAACGTAATTAATTTCTTGCTTATATAATATACCAATACTTGTGTAGTGTTCCCTAATTCTTAATCGTGTAAATAAATTGATTTCTCACATATAAATGATTTTAAAGTACTTGTTATTCTATGTCCTTTTTACAGATTAGTTGTGTCAGATATGTACCATATCTCGTGCAAACTTTACGACTTACCGGCGCTTGCTCTTTTAATCGCTATTCAGATATTTTTATTTCTGCTGTGAGTGAAAAATCATATTTAGAATGTTCTTTCAGAGCTGCCAAGGATTTAGAAGAACGTCGTAGCCATTATGAACCATCGCTCGGCCCCGGTATACCAGACGATGTCGATCATCTCTTCAATCTCGAGGAGAATGATTTTGTCCCGCACTTCCAGAGGGTGTCCATATCCGGCGAGGATACTTCCGGGGTAAGTTAAAATTGAATGTGAACAGCATTGATTTACCACTGCAATAGATAGGGAAGATCGGTGTAAGGTGGCCATTAATATTAAATACTAATACTAATACTATACAGTCTTATATTATACAATGTTATAACTAATTAATTTGCTTTAGAAAGTTTTTTGTTACAGAATATATATATATATATATGTACTATTTTAAAATACACGTGTACATAACAATGTACATACATTTTATTTATTTAATGATACATTTTTGGTTTTACATGCATATTCATATTAATGTATCAAAATTATATTATATCATAATATATGCAAGAATACTACACATATTTTTAATATGGAACATGTAAAATAAGAATTATATATATATATATATATAATTTAAATATAATAAATTTATAATACGTATATTTGTATATACGTATATATATATATATATATATATTGCACACGTTCGTAAATCTACAAATTGTATTTTTTCGCAAGATTGTTGCAAGAGTTTTTGATTTAATGAGAAAAAAAACTACTCGTTATAGGGTTTCATTAGAATTTTCTATTGCATCGTTTTTTGTCTGCATCATCATGCTGAATTATATTATCGATTCATAAGCATTTGTGCCAACGGCAGAAATAAAAGAAAATAAGAATTTTACCCCGATCTCCCCTATTTTGTAATATTCAAAGCTTATAAATCATTTTGTTGGAACTAAATTAATTAATTCCTCTTCATATACAGGATACTATCTGAATTTTCATAATTTTCAAATTAATCATGTTTCATGTAATTTCAATGTGTATGTGATTTTAATTTTCAATTTTAAAATTAAATATATGATTCTCAGATTAATTAATAATTATAAATAATTATAATACATATTACACCATAATTAACGGTTATGAATAATTATAGTATGATTGTTTAAAACATAATTAATTTATGTTAAAATTATTATGTATAATACAATTTTTATTATAATTATTTCGTAGTTACGTATTGTAGGATTACGTATTGTAAATTGATAAAATCCGTCCGTAAAATCTGTGTTACGTGGAAGATTGTGCTTTTTTTTCGAGATTTTTATGAGAAGAAACCTCAGGAGTGCTGCCTTACGTAGGAAACCCCTGTTACCACCCATTTTCTCCTTCCGTAACCAATCCTACATTCAATCATTTCATAAGAAGCTTTTTTTCATTCCTAAATAATTATATTATATAATGTCAAATTGATGAAATGTAAAATTACTTGAACGTTAATTATACATTCTAAAAACAGAAGAATAGATAATAAAACAGATAATAAAAAAAAGTATATGTAACGATATTACTAAAAAAAATTCATGATTTGTTGAAATCCAAAGCAACAAAATTAATCATCCAACATAATTTAAATAACTAAGCGTAATCATTGTGCGGTTTTTTAATGTTAATAAATTTATGATTTTTAGAATATGGTTAAGAAAAATGGAAGCTTAGAAGATAAATATTACTAAATAGTAGATTAACATTATTTTATGTTAGTAAATATAATAATATAATAATATATTATATAAATATAATATAATTTATAAATTATAGTTATATATTAATTAAATTATAGTTATAGTTATAAATATAGTAATAATTTTATATATTTCTACATACTTATGTGTAATGTGTATACTGTCCAATTTTACACTTTCAAATTTTCCATATAAATGCATAAAAATCCATGATTTAGTAATCACATACAATACCATTACTTTTTTCCAACATATAATAACAGCTTTGTTACTTGATATGTTATTCACATTAACTTATTATTTACAAGAACAATTTACATCTAGAAGATTTCAATGATTGTAAATATTTGAGTTTGACCAAGAAATTTATGCCGGATGTGTATCAAAGGTGCTGAGCGAATTAAGATTTTTATGCTTTATGCGAAATTTTTTGTTTGCAAAAATATAACACAGTGCATATAATATTATATACAAAATATCTATCTAAAACATCTATCTAAACAAAAAAATAAATAAATATATAATATAAATGTTTAAAATGTATAAAATCATAATAAAAGAGATAGATAATAGAACAAATTTTCACCCAAGTTTTATTTCTTTAGTTATGTTTGTAAGAAATTAAAAAGTGCATAAAAATTCTGTTTAACAGAAAAACTTATAGTCTCATTCAGTAATGAAAAGGGGGGAAATAATTTAGAAAATTATCTACAAAATTGTAATGTGAAGTATAACATTAGATATGCATGCTTGTAGGTGCCCTTGGAAGATCTTCAGCAAGCGTCTCAATTGTTGGTTCAGGCACTGGCAATACGTGAGAAATACATGAACAATTCTAAACAGAGCTTTCCTTCAATCACATCACGATTTCTACGTAGCATCGATAAAAGGCCAATAAGCAGTGACGACGAGGTTCAACACGATGATCGTAAAGCCATCGCAGGTATTTGTTACATCTCAAATTTTTAGTATGATTGACTTTTTCTTTGGCAATTCTTTTTTGCACGTGAAAACACGTGAACACTTTAACACTTTGAAATCTTTCATGACGTAAAAGAGTTAGTGCAATGTGTTGTTTCTTAAGGTAAGAAGCTGCAGTCAGAAGTTGAAAGTGAAATTACGAGCGTTCCATCTGACACAGACATCGATGCGCTGATCAAAAACGCACCCTTGACAGGTCCTTCTCCTCTTATCCTTATTATCCTTTGTATCGAAGCTCCTTTAACTCTGCTGTGGTATTCGAATTTTTTACAATCTCAATTTCCCTTCACAAACAACTTCAATTGAGAAAGAGAAACGTTTTAGCGTGCAAATCACGGTTTTCTTTCATATTTTGACAAAAATTTCTTAACGATGGAGTAGATACGAAAATGATACAAAGAATAAGCAGCAGAGTTATATCATCGTTCATAATAAGTATAATTGTACTGTTGGATATAGGGGAGCACTAGTTACAAGAATCAATTTCAAGAAAAACGTCTTTAGATATTTAAAAAAAAAGTACATATTTCTTGTATGTGATAAAGTTGTTGTAAGATTGTCTATAATAATAAGATATAATAATAATAGTAATAATAATAATAATAAGTAAGACTATCTATTCGATTTCTTCTTTATAATTTCATTGACATAATCGAAGTTGTGAATTTTCATTATAGTCTTCTGAGTCTTTCATTGCATATCACAATATGCAATAGAAAGCAGTATTTTTTAACATTATTTTGTCTTATTAATAATATTTAGATATTATTTAAAGAAAATAATAATAAAAAACTAGTCTGTTTTATTGACTCATTTATCTATTATACCACCCGTACCATTATAACATTCTTTCAGTTTACTATCTGTTCACAATCACAAAAACTAAGAAATCTTATGGTTAATCAGAAAAAAAGTTGAATATAATACATATAAATTATTCTAAATTGAGATTGATTAACGTTTGACTTAAATATGTATGTATATCTTTAAAAGAATAAAAGTTTTATAAACTTTGCTGTAATTCTATCAGTTTTAAGGATACAACAATGAAATTAATATAGATATATATAGATACATTATTAATTATTATTAATATTATTATAGGTGTAAGTATTATGTCATACAGTATTATGTCGATAGAACAGTTTTAGTTATTATAATACAATTATTACAACATTAATAATTAAACTGTTTGTTGGCACAAATCATTTTCAATGAAACATGACTTATATTGATTGGCTTCTGAGCTCTTTATATGTATATTATAGGTATATATAAAGAAGAACGTAGAATTTAATTTTAGTTAGGACGAGATTGAGCATCCTAACAGTACAATTGCTACTCTTTCCATGTAAATGTACTTTCTATAAGAAAAAAAAAAAAAAACAAACATTGACATTACCGATAGAAAAATGAGAAACTATTATTTTGCAATTATATTAACTTGAGAAGAATGACGTTTTAATACTTGTCATTCCTGAATAATGTTACTATTAGATCATCCTGTGCACGCACCTGCATCTCGAGGAGATCCATGGGAATGTGAATTCCCTCCGTCAAAGAATTACATAATTGCCCCCGTTAATGGTGTCTTCAATGTGTACGCTAACGAAGAAGATTTAGATAATGGGAAGCCAATCCCTTATTCGTATCCTGACTTAGCCACTTTTGTCAGGGACATGAACCTCCTTTGTACGATGATCGCCGATGGTCCATTAAAATCTTTTTGCTACAGAAGACTGAGTTACCTTTCGTCAAAATTTCAACTGCATGTGTTACTGAACGAGCTTAGAGAACTTGCCAGTCAAAAAGCAGTTCCTCATAGGGACTTCTATAACATTAGAAAGGTCGGTATGAAAGTGATATAGTCACTTACATATGTATTATACATCTAGGAAAGAAATTACAGTGAGACTCTGTATAACGCCATTATAAAATTACTGAAGAAGATTCACTTGTGACAGTAAAACGCGGAATGTATATCTCGTGTTATAGGGAATTCTACTGTATATTAAAAGTTTACATCATGAACATTTTTCAAACACTTATTAGAAAGATAATATGCTCTTAGTTAAATGACATTTCGTGTGACTTCAGGTTGACACCCACATTCATGCGGCATCTTGCATGAATCAGAAGCATTTACTCAGATTTATTAAGAAAACGCTAAAAAATCATGCGGATGAGATTGTTACGTGTTCCAAAAACGGAGAAACAATGACTCTTCGAGAAGTATTTCAGTCAATGAATCTGACGACCTATGACCTTAGCGTTGATATGTTGGACGTACATGCAGTAAGTTTACATTGATATTTCATGCAGAACAGTATTTTTTAAGATTACCATAGATCTTTAATTTCTTGTTATCGTCTAAAGAGTCCAAATACATCCTTGCAAATAATATATTTCAAAACTAACAAATTAAATAATATATTATCTCATTCGATTGGATGTTGTTTGAAATAACTATTAGTTGAAATAGTTCATTATCTCAAATTATTATATATTATGATAATTATTAATATCTGTATATATATATATAATACATAATATATATTTTTTTATTTTATTCTAAATAAAATACTGATATAGAATGATCATTGACATAATATACACTATTTTTTTAAGCATTCCTGACAGTGTAAATAAAGAAAATATTTTAGATAAAATAATAGATAATATTTTAATATTTAATAATAATATTCTAATATTTAGATAAAATAAAGAAAATATTTAGATAATATTCTAATGTTTAAATAAAATAAAGAAAATATTTTAGATAAAAGTTCTGACCAACTTTTATAACTTTCTAATGATCTTGAAATTTTAACATTTTTTGATTACATTATTGGAAATAATTGAATAACAGTGTACATTATTTAAGTTGTAGAATTCAAAGTTCTTCATTTCTTTTTCTTTCAGGATAGAAATACATTTCATAGGTTTGATAAGTTCAATGCCAAGTACAATCCAATCGGCGAAAGTCGCTTGCGTGAAGTGTTTCTAAAAACGGACAATTATCTAAACGGTAAATTTTTCGCAAGCATAATTAAGGAAGTTGCCAGCGATCTTGAAGAATCGAAGTACCAAAATGCGGAGCTACGTCTTTCGATTTACGGCAAGAGCCCAGAGGAATGGGATAAGTTAGCAAAGTGGGCAATTCAAAGTGATGTATATTCGGACAATGTGCGCTGGCTTATTCAAATTCCTCGACTTTAGTAAGTTATTTTAATACGCATTTGTTGCCATTAACATCTGACAGAAAATCACTCCAATAGCTATTGTTTTTCTATTCAGTGACATTTTCAAATTGAACAAATTGATGACAAACTTCCAAGAGATTTTGAACAACATCTTTCTTCCTCTCTTCGAGGTAACGAACGACGGCAATTCTCATCCAGAGCTACATAAATTCCTTCAATATGTAAGTAAATTTGTGAATGAGCGTTGATAACTTAGAGTTGTTGATTGCTTCATTGTCATCGATACATTGTTATCGTTACAGGTAATAGGATTTGACTCCGTTGATGACGAAAGCAAGCCGGAAAATCCTTTATTTGACAAAGATGTTTGTCCACCTGCAGAATGGGATGATATTGAGAATCCTCCTTATGGATACTATCAATACTATACTTATGCCAATATGACCGTTTTAAATCATTTCAGAGCGTAAGTACACGCTTAGTAAATAATATTAATTCTCTGTTCAAACAAATATTTAACGTATACAACGTATTGTGTTTTAGAGAAAAAGGTTTAAACACCTTTGTCCTTAGACCTCATTGTGGCGAGGCCGGCCCCATTCAACATCTTGTTTGTGGTTATATGATGGCAGAGAATATTTCCCATGGCCTTTTACTTCGAAAAGTGCCAGTACTACAATATTTGTATTATTTGGCACAAATTGGCATCGCAATGTCGCCCCTCAGTAATAACTCTCTATTTTTGAATTATCATCGTAACCCATTACCCGAATATTTAGCAAGAGGATTATGTATAAGCCTTTCCACAGACGATCCCCTTCAATTTCACTTTACCAAGGTCAGTATGATATTTAATTTTTACAAATGTTTCTCGATTTATAATTTTATTATATAATAATCTATAAAGCGAGCGATCTTACCGATTATCTTGAAATACTGTTGCCAAGATCGATTTTAAACAACTTTACATTTCGAGATATTCATTTCGAAAACTCTTAGTTAAATTTTAACTACGAGCACACTTCATTCTGACATATGCGATCGCTTCATATTCCTATATAGAGCACAATTTAGAGAAAATTAATGAGTCATAGATTATTCCAAAATAGAGATTAAATATTTCCTGTAGAAGTAAATAGTTATATTTTCTTATAGGAACCTTTGATGGAGGAATATAGCATTGCTGCACAAGTATGGAAGCTCAGTTCATGTGACATGTGTGAACTAGCGCGTAATTCAGTACTTATGAGTGGTTTTCCACACAAGGTATGCATTCTACAAATATTTACAAAACGTACAGATATTCATAAAAATGATCATAAAATTTTTTTTTTATATTTTATAGAGTAAACAATACTGGCTTGGGCCAAATTACACTAAAGAGGGTGTGGCTGGTAATGATATTACTCGAACAAACGTGCCGGATATTCGGGTGGCCTACCGATACGAAACATTAGTCGATGAATTGTCAAATATTTTCAAAGTTGCCGAGAAACCCGAAGCCGTTCCATTTTAATCTATAGCGATAGTACAAAAAAACTCCTTGATTATAACATAATAATTATTCTACAATTGCAAATAGTATCTATAAAATTCGACGAAATTGCGACGAAAACTATTTATAAAAAAAATGACTCTTGTAACGTGAAGAACTATGTGATGTATGCTAATAATCAATATCAAGTTTCAACGACTTCTTTTATCGATCATCAATTAGATTGACTACAAAATCGCGATACAAACGATGTACCTTATTTAGATGTTACTTGACAATTTGTATACATACAATAATCTTACATACAATTTGTATACATACAATTTGTGTTACATACAATAATGTTGAATGCTTGATTTGTAACTTAATAATTGAAAGTTTTTGCGTTTTTCCTGCTAGGATGTTTTGATAAAGAAAAGGTTACTTTGAGTAAGAGTAAAAGTAAATGCTAAGTTATAAGAAAATGTCTTTCACTCAGGTTACAAAATTTTAATGTAAAACAGGGAGAAATTAATCTTAAATTTTTCATATACGTTGACCAATTTAAAAATAGTTAGATATTAGATGAAGTTCCAATATCGAATGTTACTAATTTTATTATATATACATATGTGAATTAAATTAAAATTCATTATCGTATTTAACTTTGCGTAAAGAAAAAAAGAAAAAAAAAGAAAAACGTAAAATATTGCAAAGCAGCAATTTATTTCTTGTGTCATACAAGTCATTCTTTAGTCATATTAAAGGAATGTCAGCTTAGTTTTTTTTTTTTCAGTTTTAGCGTTATTTTCTTACTTTTTTGTACATTTATACAAAAATTGTGTATCTGTTTTTAAAAAGTATGTTTAACTTAAATACGGATAGTTCTCTTTATATTATATTATTTATATTATTTTTATCGTTATTAATGTAAATGTTATATTCGAAGGCACTAATTATAGTACCTCTTGTAGTATAATTAGATTTATATGATAGCAAATATAAAATTTATTTTAATATTATTAATATATGTAATCTTAAATTCTTTTGTTTTTGAGACAAGTTTGTGATTAACGAGCTTCTATTGGCAAATATACGATGGTATATCAGCATTCGTAACGAAACCTAACATTGAATAATTGTTATTAGATAGAAACAAATGTATGTATTGTATAAGATATATCCCGTCAAACAAAAATATACTTGTACTGTTAAAACAATTTTGTGTTATCAATACCAAGATTAATGACATAATAAAAAATATATAAAAAATATGTACATTTTTGTGATTCAAAATTCAAACTTTATATCTATAAAATATTATATAGAAATATTATATATTATAGAAAATCATAGCAATATTACAAATTGTGATATAATCTTTTTAAATAGAAAAATATACAGAGTAATTATAAAACTTATAAAATAGACCATTTAAATTTCAATTTGATTGATATTGACACATAATAGCCAAGGTATACATATTTCATTTTTTGCAAAACATTCTGCATACTGTATTATTATATATATACATATGTATACACCCCATATATATATAATAAATGCTAGAATTTATTATTTATCATTTACTATTTAATTTTTTATCCATTTTAATATTGTAAATCTAAATTTGCCAATTTTAAGTTAACTGTTAAAGCTACAGTTAAAGACTACAAAATTTATTCGTTAGTTTCAATTATAACAAAATTCATTTATCACAGCAAGTTCATAAAAATCTCATCCACAATAACAACTGTTTATTTGTAAAAAATTAGTTCAAAGTTTATTATGAGAAGTTTTACTTATACAGAAGAAAGTAATTTATATAGTTATAACATCTTTGATATCGTTAAATAAATCAATTCAAAACATCAGTATAAAAAAAATGTTAGGAATGTTTAATAAAATTGATATATATGAAATTTATTTTTTTAATAAGTTGAATATAAAATTGATCTATTTTTTAAATAAATGACATATAAATTTGAAAAACGTGTTATTTGAATTTACATGAATTTTAATTACAGGAATTTATAGAAAAATAATGTTTATTCAATAATTTTACAAAAATGCCTCGAGAAAAATGAAAAATTGTCTTTTCATTATAAATTCATTTATAAGATCTTTTATTCATTATTGTATCAATTAGTATTATTCACTTTATCCTCTGCAATTACATAATATAAATAATATATAACATTTTTTAACGATTTTATTTATTATTGGACTTTCTTAGTCTTCTTTGTAGATTGTATACTTTCCGCAATTTTTGGTATGACTTCTGTAAATATTATTGTTCCTAAAAAGACTAAAATTGTACCAATCCAGTGATATATTGTAAAAGAGTTTTTGAAATATATTATTGAAAAGATTAAAGACAAAAATTTTCGTAACGTTATTACTAAAGTCACTGTGAGAGATGTACATTCCGCTGTTAATACAAAAACGGAACTAATACACACATATCTAAAATTATTGTTAAGGATTATGAATTATATTATAAATTAATTAAATATCTAAATATTAATAAATGGAAGGATACTGTGTAAGAACATTTCCTATGAGATATACGATTAATTTTGGAATTTGTAAATTAATAATTTGTATTGGCTCTGATGCTAAAGCATACGTGAAATGATCCCAAATATTAGGAGCCAGTGTTAGAAAGAATGGTAAAGGCAGTAAATGCTGAAATCAAATATTTAATTTTACATAATTTATCATATAATATGCCCAATTTAAACGTATACACTCTATTTATTGTTATATTATTGCTTTAACTGATAAACATGTAAAAAAAATTTCGAATTTTTCAATCCAAAATTATAGATATTTAATATTCTCAAGTAGAATAATATATTTTTATAATTATCTATAATGTATCAAAACACATTTAACAAGTTACATGAAGTAACTCATTGTGTTGTCATGTTGTCCCAATTTCTTGTTACATGTTTATAATAAAAATGTATAATTCCAAAAATTGATATTGATATTGAAATGTTAATATAAAATAATTTGAGAAATAATCTAAATATTATATCGCTGTTTTTCTATTTAATAATTAAATAATTTTGACAGAAATAATATGTATACATTTAAACTGAATGTATTTGTAAGCGAGATGAAAAAACAAAGTAAAATTTTACCGTGTAATATAAAGCCTCTCTTGCATTCTTTCCATATTTCTTATGTAATACTTCTTGGTAAATACCCATTCTTGCAGATACGAATAATGCAATAGTTAGTAATGATATACCTAATATCCACCAAAAGAAATCATCCCATGGTGTTGTAGGTACTTGAGAAACATTCTTAGGTTGCAAAGATTTTATTTCTCTGCCACTGACAATAGTGCATACAGCAATTCCAATAGTTATCATAAATACCGATAAGTATTTACTAAAGATATATTGTTTCTTTAAAATAATGATACCCATAATCATATTAGCTATCAGAGAACCCTAAAGATAGAGAATTACTCAGTGATTTGAATCTTATTGTATACTTTATATTTAAGTACTTACAGCTCTGAATATCATATGCAATGGCATGGGTATATTAAAATCAAATGCATAATTGTTACAAACGTTTGCAATAAAAAACATTGTTACTAATATAAAATAGTCCTTTATTCCTACATTGGGCTTGACGCTTCCACATTTTGAAGTAAATAAAAATCCTTCTATAGATATAAAAAGAAACTGTGAAAATGTGATAAGATTTCCACTACCTGGATCATCTCTGGAAAAATAATAATTATTATCATTATCATTCTTTTCGTATATTTATTAAAAAATGATTCGAGATGCTATGTGTCCAAGTTGTTAAAAAAAAAAAAAATACAAATTATCACATTTATAATATTGAAGATAATATATAAAACAAATATACTAGTACAATTAAAAAAAAAATTTCATTACTGACTTAACAAGTAGTTCCAGGAAAACAACGTTGCTGCAACAACCAAGGAAGACGCACAATATTGCAATAGTTGCGCGCATGTTTTTATTGTTTAATAAATACTATATGATTTAACCTAAAATTATTACTATAGGTAGCGCGCTTTTTCGTTTCGCTATCCCACGATGAGATTATGAGGAACGCATTGGCTAAAAGTTGAAGGAATTATCAGTAAGTCACGATACATAATAATCTGACATATCATTTAAACGTCACATAATTTCTGCTATATATGCATAAGAAAATAAAGAACACAGTGTCTACGAGTAGACGTGAAGGACTTTCTTTAGTCGTATAGTATATATATATATATATATATATCACATACTATATATGTGTAGTCTAACGTAGTACGTTACATAATACATATCTTATATAAATGTATGCCTATGTACAGCGGGAAATTTCATTTCGTGTCAATAATTTGAGAAGTTATTTCAGAAAATTAAGAGAGATGGTGAAAAATTTAGATTAATTTGAAAAAGACTTAAATTTAAATTTAATGTAAAAAAACCTCTAAATGTTACGGTAACTGTGTGTCCTACATCTTACATATTATACTCGTGTAATTACGTTTAAAATTCCCGCTAGTTGTGAAAATTATTTAACTTGCTGATCATAGTAATAAATTTGACTAAATTTTTTTAAACAATTTATTTTTTCTTAAATAATGGTTAAATGATAATTTTCATATTAGTGAATCATATACATATACTCCAATAAGTGTAATTAAATTAGACGTATGCCAAGTTAAAATTTATTTGGTCAAATTTTTGAAATGATTAAATTTTTATATTAGGGATTATATTAAGGAACCATAAGTCGCAACATAATAGTTTTCCTGAAAAAATGGTAAGAAAGTTTATTTTTTTGTGCAATATTCATTTTTTTTCGGGAAGAGTGTCTTCAGTAATTTGAAGACACGAAATATTAAGATCTAATGTCTTAGGCAAATATAGTCACGTTAATATTCGAATACTAAATATTTAAATTGTTACAATTTCGAACTTTACTTTCAAAATTCTACTCTCAAAATACAATACTCGTTCGTTTCTATGGTATTTTTACGTCACACAGCGAATGGAAAAGTGAAAACTCTCTTCTTGGGAAAGCTACAAATTGTCATAATATATAAAAATATTTTTCACGACTGATTCTGTAATGGATCTGATCAAGAATTAAAAATCTTTTTTTTTATCAAATATGATGTTTTATTTGTTAAGTGCAAATGGATGAAAGATTAAGAATTATTGCTTATATAATATCTTACTATATTTATATTTTCATCTTATGAACTAACGATATTAGAAAATATCACAATATTACAATTATACTTTTATTCCTTTACACAATAAGTGCAAAGTACTTAATAAGGTAAGTACTGTAAGGAAGTATTGTAACTAATAAAAAAATATAATATATAAGAAATTCAATATCACTTTTTCAGATAACCAACAATTATTTCTTCGCTATTTATATACGATTCATCACATTTCATTCAAGCTTTTATCAATGATATAAAACTTCAAAATTATTATAATTGTAGTTAAAAAACCTACTTATTAATAACGAAAGTTATGTTGATAACGCAAATGGATATTAAAGTACTGAATGTTATAATAATTTAATTTAACTTAACTTAATGTAGTAAATATTTGAAAGACGTAATATAATTGTCTAAAAGAAATACAAAAGCTGTAATCATCCTTCTTCGCGCCAATAAAATACAATTTGTACAATGTATAGTCAATAAGTAACGTGTTACGTACAAACGACACAGTTAACAGACAAGTGCTACTTCTTATTGATAAATTCTATTAATCCAATTTTAACTTGTTTGTTCTCAAATAAATACGATTATCGCAATGACATATTGTCAGTATTACCGTAAGCTATGATCTCTCTGACTTAAAAAAAAAAAAAAAAAGAGAAAATCAGCCTTTTCCTTAGTTCCAAATATATATTCTCTTATTGTTGTCGACTATACTGATGTTATAAAATTAAACAAGAATTCCTTGTTTACGTGGTGAGATTTTTAATCGCAGTCCGTCAGCATTGTGCAATACCAGTTCACTGATGAAACGAAGTTGATCCTCGGTATCTAAAGATTCAACTTGGAAGTTCTTCACTACATGCAAAATAAGAACTTTCACTATCATCGTGGCATATTTCCATCCTATGCAATTACGTGAACCAGCACTGAAGGGAATAAAAGCATAGGAAGGATATCGTGGTCCATCAGGAAGAAACCGTTCTGGTCGATAACTGTCTGGCTCTGAAAAGTATCGAGCATCACGATGAAGAAGGAACGAATTTACTAGAACCGTGGATCCTATTGGAATTTTATGGCCCACTGAAAGTGAATTAATTTATTTAAACGACATTCTATTTTTGAACGCGCGCACATACGAATAAATATATTTATACTTACAAATTGTAATAGGATGATAAATCTGTCTGGCGATGAGCGGTGTTACCGGATAAAGTCTCCAAGATTCTTTTATGCATGCGTCTAACCAAGTTAATTTGCTTAATATATCTAAAGTTAATTCTTTCATTCCTACTACCTCATAATACTCTTCCAAGATTTTTTCCTGAAATGAGAAATAACAAAAATGGCATGATTATTTAACAATAATAATCAAATTATTGAGAAAATCAAATAGTAAGAGTAAGAAAATGAAATTATTGATATAAAATATATTTTTAAAAATATTGAAAAGTGCTATAAACATAAAATGAGTTCAAAAGCAAAGAAACTATGTTCAAATATATTATTATTATAAATTGTCTTTTTCGTAATTAACATAATAAAAAAATGGTAATGTAAAACATGGTAATGTAATTTTAATTAAATTGTATTATTTGTTTTTACAGATTAATTTTAATGTAATATCTTATGAAGGATCTATTATAATTAATGTATAAATCTACATTTTTTTCATACAAACTTTCTTTTCAAGAAAATATTTAAGCAGATACACAGATGAGTGTTGATCTATCTTGTTGAATTTTTACTAGTATTTGTGTCTCTTACATTAGAATAAAATACAGAAAATATAGAAGATATTTATATACAATTATTTTTACTACTTTAGAAATTGTTTTGCTCATTAAATTTATCCAAATATCTCTTATTTGCTATAATGAATGCAGAATATAATGAATATATACCTACAGATTATTAATCTACAACAAAATCAATTAAGTTGAGATACAGTTATGTAAATTAAATCTTTTTGCACAATTACGGATAAAAAAGAAAGTTTCACTGCATATCTTCAACTTTTGTTTTGTTCATGTAAAAATATTTTTCTTTCCAAATTATACCTGGTACTGAGGATGCCTTCCCAATGCATACAAGATCCAGGACACGCTGGTGGCGGTGGTATCGTGTCCAGCGAACATGAATGTATTCACCTCGTCACGAATATCGTCATCGGTAAGTACCTTCCCATCTTTCGACAATTCCAACAATAAATCCAACAAAGCTTGACGTTTTTGAGGTCGTTCATAGAAATTTCCACTCTTTTTGGCTTTCCATTCGGCTTTTCTTTCTGCGATTATCTACAGACAAATAAATAATATTATCTCTATGAAGTCAATTCTATAAAGTTATTTGATCATTTGATCAAGAATAAAAATAAAGTTGAGAAAATTAACAAGTTATCTTATACGATTGACAGAAGAGATTTGCTTATAGGGTTTTTCGAATGAAAGAGGTTAATAAACGAAAGCAACTCAAAGAGGTTATATGTATATAGAATTAGAATTGTTTTCTTGATTTAGAGATTCAAAGAAATGTAAATGTAATTTCTAGTAATTTCCAATGAATTATTAACTGTTATTAAGTTGTTATATCATACTTTGTCATCAAGTTTACTAAATGTCAAGAATCAAAAGCATGGTGGAAGTTCAATGTTTTTTTTGTTGTAAAGTATATGTATACTACAGCATATGAGTATTCAACTTTTTTAATTGATTTGTACTGATAATTACATGAATGTTAGATAAATATGTACATAAATTAATAAAAGAAATTGATGGCCATGTGCGGCATATATTATCTTGTAATGAAACCAGCAAATAATGATATACTTAGTTAAATATTTGTTAAAAATTCATCGATAATATATTATAAGTTATTACTTAAGTGATTATTTTTTGAATTAATCATAATATGAATTTTGAAATACTTTTCTTATTTGATGTAGTACTTTTTTACAATGCTTTTTTATAAATTTTGTTATAGACGTTTACATCATAGCTTATTTTACTTCTGTATATATTAATATTTCATTGCAATATTAATTATTTAAAATCAATTTTATCGTGTCATAATAATAATTATAATACAGAATTATTTGTCGATATATAATTTTTATTTATAATTGATACTGTTTTAATTGGACAAACAAGTATTTGGTTAATGTTGAGAAATACATGTACCTTTTGTTTTGAGTTGAAGAGGCAAATCAATTTAATTCACAAAACAGAAATTTAACTATTAGAAATCGGATTTCTTTGAATTTGAGTTATAGAGGTAAAATAACATATCTAAACACATAGCAAATAATTTGATATGAAATAATTTCATAATTTAATTTATAGTTTTCAGAAGGAACCATACTTTGTTAATGAATTCATGTGTAACACCAAGTGCGTGATCGTGTCTTTTGCCCCAGGTTGTTAACTTGAAGATTAGATCAAATGACATCCACACATCTAGAAATCTTCTTTGAGAGATGGAAGCCAATCTGGAAGAAATATATCCATACGTATATACATGATGTATTTGATATTTGTTCTTCCAATGTGCATTGCTTAAACAGAAGATACACTTACGTGTTCACAGCCGACACGTATTCGTTTTCAAAATTTTTCTGTGCATTGATGTTGCATCCCATAGAACTGTCTGCAATATTAAAAAAACAAAGATGTTTTAGAATACAGAGATGAACAAAAACTGAAACTGTTCTCTTCATTCATTGTGCTTTGAGTCATGGATAAATACTTAAGTAACTGGAATTACGACGGATGTTATGTCTAAAGCCATTCGTAAGAATGAACCGTATGAAGCTGGTCGCACGCGAACGACAGAAGAATTCAAAACTAAAACTGATATTGGTGTGAAGCTTTAAACAGTTTCTTTTTTGTTGATTACAGTTCAGGGAGGCAATGAAAATGTGTGATCCTCCGTTGTTCAAAACACGTTTCGCACGTAAAACGGGAAACATGAATTGAAAATTTGACAAATAAACAGACAAAAATTTCATTTATGAATGTTATGCAAAATTTTTTAAGTGACGTACACATGTGTTAGTAAGAGGAGATGGCCACGTTGCTCACCACCCGCTACTGGGGGTCGGACGAATCGTTTAGTTGCTTTAGCAATGCGTTCACGAACAAACTGACAAAACCAGAAAAAAATCCGAACAGTGAGAACTCACTTCCGGTGTCCGATCAGCAGTCTGAAAACATTTCCCCGAAACAGCCGACGAAGCGAAAAGCAACGAACGTTTCTTCAAAATTGAAGGCGATTGAAGCTTACAATGATATTTTCTTGGAACCTAGCCACGTAGGTGTATAACTTTTATTCGAAAGTTTTGAAAAGATTTGTTTAAGAAAGTATTGAAAACAACGTAGGAAATGCAATTGTTCTTTAAATCCTTTAAATTTGGTCATCATTTTTAAGAAGTCTGTGCTTGAAAAGGCTATTTAACCTATTAAATTTGTTTTTTGTATCAATTTGATATATTTTTCTTACAAAAAGTTATATCTATTATTCTGTCTTACGTAGGTACTTATCTAAAGTTACTTATTTGAAGTTTTGAGAAATCTATCTTTTAGTATGTGTATATCCTTTACATTTTTGATGACAAAGTACATCAATAGAGTTTCAAATAATACTTGTCAAATATGCCTGTGTGTCTATTTGACACGTGTATAATTTTTCAAATTCCTTAACAAGTAATTAATTATTAATTAACAGTTATATACTTGGTGTAGCATTTTTATGATGATGCGTGTATTAGATATACGAACATCAAAATTAGTAGTGCAGAAGACTTGGGATTAGAAATTGTAAATATAAAATATTATTTGCATGTACATCTAATTTTAACTACAAATGCAAATTGACAAACTATCTGTTCTGTAAAAAAAAAGTTCAAATGAAAAATGAATGATTCCGAGAAGAAAATAATCCAGTTAATTAGTAAATTCTCTTTAATTATCTATAATTCGAAAACTATGTATGTAGGACATAGATTCATATGACATTTTTATTTGCTTTTAGTGCATAGATTTATTAGTTGTATTTGATTTATTAGACATTATTAGTGTACAGATTTATCACTTAAAATATGGACATGTATTTAAAACCCCATTCAGAGAAAAACTAATTATAATGGAATTATAATAAAACCTCCTTGGAATTATTCATTTTCTAATTGAATCACTTTTTCATGTAATTTTTTATGTGGTTTACCAATAATTTACATTTTTATTTAAAAAAATGTGTAATTAAATTAAATTCGTATTGTACATTGACATTGTATTTATATGAATCTCTCCTTTGAAATATAAAGTATTTGAAATATTACGGTTCAACATTTAGATCAGACCGGAAATTCCAATCATGTATCAAATTATAACAAGTTAGCTTTGCAATGCTAAGTATGTTTGTTTATCGATTAACGTCTTTTTCTTAGATACATATCTATCTAGTTTACAGGTAGAATTTTGTATCAATAAATTCATTTAAAATAAACAGCATTAAATACACTTTCGGCAAAAATTTCTCATAATTATTAATATTAATTAAGAATGAGAATTCACTGTTATTTAATTGTATTACTATTTTTTATTATTTTTTTCATTTTATTAATTAATAATTTCTTATTAATATCACTATTAATTACAATATATATATATATTATCAAATAATAGTAATAAAAATAAAAAAACAAAAATTAGGGATAAAATTGAATAATAATAAATTCAATTAGTTAATTCAATTAATAAATAATTTCTTATAAGGGACTAACCATTGGGATGTCTGCTTTAATGAAAAAAATTGTCAATTTCCGCTTTAGAATGTATTTGAAACGGAGATAAATAATGATTTGAAATAATGAATCATTGTTCGGTCAACTACATTATTACTTTTATTTTAGAAATAACATAGGGAGTATAATTTTGTGTTATAATAAATAAATCAATCTCCAAATTGAAGTTTCTCAAGTAATTATTTATTTTACTTGCTACATGCCCTTAGACTGTTTTAAATTTTAATTACCATTAAATAAGCGTTTGAGATGAAATTAATATTACTGGAAGAATTATCTGGGATTGTTATTTCAGGAAACATTTCTTCAAATACAAAATTAAAAAGATTCACTGAGGAATGCTTGATTCAAATAAATTATTATTTCATTGTTATTTCAAAATATTACATCTAATCAAATTAGACGATAGATCATTTAAATAATTATTTTTATAGATTATTTAGTGTAATTAATTTTATAGAATATAATCATTGTAATTATTTTAGATAAGAGATTATTTATTAATTTAATTAGATTGTTTAAGTACCCAAGTTTGCTTTAAAGGAAGTCGTTAATTTGTCATTGTAGTATATGACTGATTCTTTCTCATTTTCTGCATCAGGTAAAAGCATCAGCTCTATTGTATGAAATAACCGATCGTACTAACCAATTAGCCCAACCACGCATTCGAAATACTGAAGAAAAGCTTCAAACGCGGCCGAATCCATCGCAGATTTCGAAAGCATCGCCGCGTATTATTGAACTTTCAAAGCCACGGGTCCCTTATCAGTACCCTCATAAACAAATTGGATACGTTGCGCCCAGTGCTCTCATGGCAGTCGGTTAGTATTTTTTTCTTTAACACAGAATGATCTAACACAATGATCATTGATGATCGGTTTTTATTTTCATAAATATTTTCGAATGACGAAAATAAAACAAATATCATCGATAAAAGAATTCTAAAAGAATTCCAAGTTTTATTTTGCGCCAATATTGCGGAAAATCTCAGATACTTAATCTTATTTTGTATTTTGTGTTTGAAACAGGGCGATTGATATTGTCAGCGAGTTTATTCCCAAGTAATCGGTAATTTGTGTTTTTTTTGTAACCACTCAGCGTATAATTGAATTATCGAAACCCAAAAAGAGGCGGAAGTTGAAGATGCCAAGCAAAAGAAAATCGAAGTTGCATAAAGAAAAGTCACGGTAACAGTGAAACGAAACTCTGTTGATTAGTTGAATATATTCTAAAAACGTATTGCTTATTCCTTTTTTAATAAAAAGTGTAGACAAATGTAAATATTATGCAAATGTAGGCATTTATGTATTCTGAAATTTTTACGAGCCTCAGTTGGAGGAATGTATCTAAACAGAAATTCCTTTCTGTCGCTAAATGTGAATTTCTGACCTCAAGGTCATTCGAAAGTCACAATATTACAAATCGTTGAACTCGACAGTAGCAAATCAGTAGAAAGTACGTAATGCAATTGAAAGGAGAATTATTTGTATAGGGTGGGTCAAAAGTTTCTTCCTATTTATTTATTTATTTTTTTTTTTTTAATAAAATATCAAAGAAATATCGAAGAAAAAAATATAAGAAATTTATTTATATTAATATATAATAATTATTATTTATAATAAATATAATAATTTTATTAAATAATTATTATTAATAATAAATATAATAATTTTATTAAATAATTATTATTAATAATAAATATAATAATTTTATTTATTTATATCAAAGAAAATAAGAAAAAATAATTTTATTTTATTATCTATAGTTTTAAATTAAATTTAAGTTCAAACATGATTTTCTCATTATGTTTTAAAAATTATCTCTTTCAAATGTTGATCGCCAAAGCGTTCGCAAATTAAAAAAAAATAATACTAATAATAATAGTAAAAATAATACTAATAATAATACTAATAATAATAATAAAAATTGCGGATTTATTTTAGTAGGTCCTAGATAAGGGTCGAAGGATTTTTTTGTATTCAGTATTTTGGACAATTTTCACTATTGTGATTTCACTTGTAGCTAATGCAAAATTGGCCAATTTTTGTCTGAAAAAAATTTTTCGATTACCGTTATCAAAAATGCTTGAAAACTCGTGTACATTGATAACACGTGTATTCATATGTGCCTGTATATTTATATAAGATGTTTCAGATGTTTAAGATGCCAAATCACTATATTCCACGAGTCTAAACAAGAAAAAAATATTATATGAACATAGTGTCATTCAACGTTTTATTAAAATGTTATAAAAATAAGAAGAGTTTTATAGAAGAAGAGATGAAACAAAATACAAAATACGAACTTCATGCAGTAATGAATTCTTGAACCGTTGTTGATCTTATATTGCTCTTGGACAGTGGCGCCATTTTAATATGCTAATATTAATCGCGTGAATTAATGATAATGAATGAATTTAGTATTAAAATTAGTATCAGTGGTAATAATCCGTTAATTAAGTCAATTAAGCGATAATTAACACTAATTTAACGAGTGCAGATAGTAAACACAGCTCGCATAATAACTGCGAATAATAATGCAAATATCGCTTAATTATCCTCTTGCTTGTAACTTTTTAGCGGGTCAAAAAAATATTGTGTGATATATTATAGAATACACTGACAAAGTTTGGCATTTTAAACCTGGGACACTCTGTATATTGTATACCCTCTGCACTTTTGGTATCATTAAGTTTCCCATAAACGAGCAAAAATTACAAATGACACAGTTCGCACGAATTACTCGACCATTTAGCTTTCGCGCGTGTGTTTCGAATAAGAGTGAATCGATATGTTTCAGAAGTTACGTGAAACGCGGTAAAAAGAAGTCGGATCACAAATGCAGCTCGCTCCTTCGTGATCGGAAAGTAAGAAGTAAGAAGAAGCAATTAAGAACATCGGACTCCGACAGGACTATCATTGTGGTCGGTTTGAAAATGAAGGACGAGAGGAAAGCTCGTCGACATTCTTAATGAAAGGGGAGCACGAAAACCCTGTTGTTTATCTAACAATCTTTCGCGGTTTTGTAACGTAGCGTTTCTAATTGTCTGTAATGAACATTTCATGTACGTGACATTTCAATATACCCATTCTAGGAACGAATCTCCATAAATTAGAATAATTATTAGAATTATGAAGAAATTACTGAAGCAGACAGCCGCTCGCGGTTGCATCACAACAATATACATATGTACAGTTGATTTGCGTTTTCTTTTTTTTTTCTCGCTTCTTTTTTCACATGAAAATATCGCGCGAGATGTATCGCGAGACGTGTGCGTGATTAAACATTTGAAATTGAAGGAAGAACGTTGTAATTATTCTGAGTTGTTTTCATCGTTGTTAGAAAATTCTTCGTCGTTTCAACGGATCAGATATATATTTCATTTACTCAGATGGATTTTACAAATGAAAATTCGTAGTTATTGTTTATCAATAACGGAGACACTAAAAGTAATGTGTATGTTGCATTTTTCTGTAAATGGAGCGGATCAAAGTAATTTCAGGGTCATTTCCACCTTTTCAAGAGTAGAATGATATATTTTTTTTTTGCTCCATTAATTCTCTCCAAAAGAAAGTATTGATACTGATTAATTACAATATTCACAGTTTATAAGTTCAATAATTTATCAAATTTATTATTATATAATCTATAAATTATATAAATTATTATAAATTTATTTTATTTATAATCATTTATTTTATAAATTATAAATTTGTTATATTTACAATTTATAAAATTTATGTTCGAAAGACAGAGACTGTCTTTCAGTCTTATGTATCTATATAACAGTAACAATCAATATGTGATAAAATAATTTCTAATTTCTAATTAATAATTTATAATGATTCATAGAGGGACATATCACGACCCTTTGTGTATTAAACTACGTGCTTTTTCATATCAGCAAAAACAACATGGAAATATTCAAGGTGATCAATTTACGTTGCCTACTGTGTTAATCGAAGCTTAAAAGACAAGCGAGAAATACGATGAAGCTATGTTAACATCTAGTCTTACCGCATATTATATCCAGCGTCGCCCGTTTAGCGTAAGGAACAATGTCGAATTCTGGTTTACCGACTTCCTTGCTTAAGCACGAAACTAATATTTGAGCTTCTCTGATCGTCGTCTTCAAATATATCTCCAGAAGGCCGCTGTGAAAGGTTGGCGTTAGCAATTTCCGTCGGAAGTGCCATTTCTCTCCTAGTAAACGATTTACCACTTTTAATTCTTTATTTCTTTTCTCTCGATCGTTGTTTTTGACAATTTAGAGACGTTTGACGTAATAGCGATGCGTAATAATTGATAGAACAACTTAATAACAATAACAAATGATACGCAATTTGTTTCGAAGGTTATGAATTAACCACTTGCGCTGGCAACTGATTGCGGACCATAACGAGTGACCGTATACAATAATTCGTCGTTTTCTTTTTGAACTCGTCGGTAAGATATCACCGGATAGAAATTATTGAGAAGTGATAAATATTATTATTTGTTTTTGCCTAGGTTATACTTAAATGTACTTAAAACTGAGGAAATATTGCAATTTTGGGACAAAAAATTCTCGACGTGCGTGGCACGTCATTTCAGCGCAAGAGGATACCACCTGCGCTGGCAACTGCGGACCATAATGAGTGACCGTGTACAATAAATCGTCGCTTTCTTTTTGAACTCGTCGGTCGTACGATGTCACCGGATAGAAATTATCGAGAAGTGATAAATATTATTATTTGTTTTTGCCTAAGTTATACTTAAATGTACTTAAAACTGAGGAAATATTGCAATTTTTGGACAAAAAATTCTCGACGTGCGTGGCACGTCATTCCAGCGCAAGAGGAATAACCTCAAAATTTAATTTCCTTTTGAACGTATAGTGAGCAGAAAATGGTACGAACAGTTATTGAAGTTTTATATTTGCTTTATTACAAAGCGTTTATGGACGCACGTTTGTATATCAGTTTTTTCTTATTTCTATTCATAGAACATACCGGTGAAGTTTGATTGTTCAAACGTGTATGACATATCGTACAGTGGATAGTAAAATTGACATACGTGACATTTTCATAATATTTGTGAATGGTGAACAGACATGGCAGTAGTTAGCTAATGGCATGTTAATATAATAATAACGATGATTGGTAGCGTACTCACCGGTGCTGGTAACCAGACCGGAACCAAGCCAAGGTCGTAAGTACTCGTACTCCAAACTTTTGTCGATGTGAACGCTGCTACTTAGCAACGGTTGTATCGCTTCTGCTTTGTAGAGAAAGATGAAGGGCCTCATGCCTACCCAAATCAGATATATATCACCTAACTCTCTCCCCCATGTGATCATCTTCTTGAAGGCTTCTGTAACATATGAAACGTACTTTCTTTAATTTTGAACACACGAAAACTTTCAACGAAGTGAAAACTTTTCATCGAGCAGCGCCTTTAAATTTTAGGTTTAATGCTGAATTATATAGGGTGTTCTGTAACATGTGGAAAGTAGAGCAAGGGATGATTCTGAAAAGTAAATCGAAGGTAATAATAAAATAATAGTAATAAAAATAAAATATAATAATAATTAAAATAAAGTAATAAAAATAAAATTTTTTCATTCAAGACTTAGTTTTCAAGAATATTTAATTTGAAAATTTACGTCAAGTATGCTTGAATCTGGCTAATTTTAGACGTATCATGCAAAAATATTAATATTTTGGAAAATATTTATATTTTAATAAACATAAATATTTATATTTATATAAGTAATAATATTTATATAAAATATCTTCGTGCAAAAACATGTCAAAAGTAGGTAGAAAAAACTTTTTTTTACTTGAAACTTCATTTTTGCGAAAACAAACTTCGAATCTGTTTCGTTAAAAATTGCCTTGATACTAGACACACATTTTCAAAAAAATAAATGACATAATTTTATTTTATACGTTTTTGATTTATTTTTTCCAGGAGGAATTATCCCCTGTTCTGCTTCTCACATGCTAGAGAACATGCTGTATATAATTTAGTTGTATTTATTAATCTTCAGTTTGAAGAATTAAAATTGAAATAAAAGTTCAAATTCACGTTCAAACATAGGATTGCAGTTTGTCCTTTTTTTTCAAATCGAAGTCATAATTCCACGAGCGTGACTCGATATTGTAACTCAAAGGATTAAAAATCTAATACTCGTGTATTAAAAGCTACACAATTCAAATACGAATATATTAAATATTGTTTCACATTCTTATTATGCATTCTTGTTATACATTAATCTACACTAATCACACCAATCATATACATGAAATTTGATATGTTAATATATGTTAATACATTAATATGACTGCATCGCATTTCGATGCACGTATAATTAGAAGCACGTGTTCCACGTGTATTTAAAATTTAAAATTTAAACACACGTGTCTTTGTGTACTCAACTCTGCCACGTGACTCTTAATCATATTTAACAAAGCTAAACAAAGTAATGAAACAGAATAATGGACACACTAATCAATTCAAGTGAAATTATTTCAATTCTTGACACCAGAACCACCGATGACTAAAGACATAAAATTCCTGTTAGGGACATGTTTGATAGTGCGATAAATTACACAAGCTAATTTGTATATTTTACGAAGAATCATTTGAATCTCTAAAAATACGTTGTTTTATGTCTATAAAATTGCTAACGAAAATTAGTCATTTTCATCAGTTTGTTATAGTGTTGAGGCAATTCAGTTGAACATTCGAAACGAATACATTCAAAATGTATGTTTTTGTTGTTTAATTTTGAAATTTTTGACCTGATTTAGTTACATATATCTTTTTCTATCAGAAAAAGTCACAGAATAAAATAATTTAAATTATTGTGACAATACAAATTGTACAATATTATTACCATATTATATTATTATTAGGGTTTAAATTTGGATATTATTTGAATAAACTTTTTTTAAATTTGATTATTTAAATGATACGTTATCTTGTTTGACTCAGTGTTATCTTAGAATAGTCTTGCGTTAGATATTTGAACGAGCAAATGATTTCTCTCCGAATTATCTCATTATTATTTGGTTATTAAATAAAATAATTTTTCATTTTATTACTTTTATTATTAATTTGTTTCTATGAATAATTCTCGTCACATACGCTTCACAATGAAGTTAACAATTAATTGGAAATAATTTATTCGATTTGGACACAAGATAAACTTACTTTTCCTATATCATTAAGCGAAAAGATAAGTATGGATTATAATGAGTTTTTCGAAATTTTGTCTATTTCGATGCCTGCTATATTTTTTCCCCTCAAACGCTTTATTATACTACTGAAATGAGAAATCGAGTCGTCGTTTCAATTTTAAAACAAATGATAACATTTTTTAAAATGATTTTTTAATTTTAGTGACGTAAGGAAAAAAGTTGTATTGAAATAAACGAGATTCGTCAATGAAAATAACAAATTAAGAAAATTATTTATTATCTTTGTTAATTGAAGGAGGCCTTCTTGCAAGTCAAAAAAAATTCCAAGAAATTCCTTCAACAAAAATTAACTCCAAGTAAAACAGTTTGTTAACTCGAGAAGTCAGTTGATCCGATTTTCAATTCTTCATTTTCTGTTGATTTGCTAAAAATCACGCGTTGAAATGTATTACGCTAGTGAAATGAAATTTGTCCAACATTATTAAGAATTAATTGTCGAGTTGATAAGAAGAGACGTTACGCCAGAGCGATAACGAGGAGAGTGCAAAATGGGAGGCTCCGGGAGTGATGCCGGTCTGCACAGTGCGTGATGACTGTTTCGCAATGTGGCAGCCGTTTTAGAACGTCTCGCAATCGACGACGACGAGGTATCGAAAAGAGAAGAAAGAGGATAGAACCGAACCAGGAGATGACACGTGTTGCAATTCTAGCAAAAGGGAGGAGTGGCTGTACACTGACCGGACGTTGACCGGTAAAAATGCAACGCGAGGTCATCGAGTAGTAATGACTCGCAACAAAAAGAACAGACATATACTCTCGTAGACCTTGGCACGTAACGAGACGGTTGCCGTCCTTCGGATAATGGTGAACCTTTGATTTATCATTGATTTTTTCCTTTCTTTCTTTTTTTTTTTTTTTCGGTCTGCCATGCTAGCGTGTCGTCATTGTTTATTTCTGGCTTTGTGTTCAAACAATTGACCCACGAAGTGGGTCAAGAAGGTATTGGCACATCCAATGTTTTCTTTTTTTTTTTTTCTTTTTTTTTGCAATGAATATAATGCACATGGTACGTAAAAAAAATTTATATAAAATATCTGAGAAGAAGAGTACTTATTATAAAAGTACTTTGTTTTACGAAAGAAAGTAAAAAAATTAAATTGTCTCCTATTTCTGTATTAGCAGGGAATTTGATAAATTTTCAGAAACTCAATTTCTTTTTTTAGAAACGAAATCTTAGATCAGTCGAGGGTATATTTGGATGTAAAGATTAACTCGGATCCGACTTTTGCGTGGAATTTGAAAATTGAAAGTCAGAAGAACTTGGACAGTCGTTATTGAATGAAAACTTTCTCCAAAAAGGAATTTTGTTTCACAATGTGGAACGATCTAGATGAAGAATAATAATTTCCTATCGGTAAGATCTCAAAGCAAAATTAATAAATGAATGCAAGTTTGTTTAGAAAATAGCACTGTTTCTGCATTTTGCAATAGCACATTAATTTTTGTGTTACAGATGCTTTTTAATCCTCGAATCTTTATACTTTTTGTATTATTATTGTAGAGCTCGTTATTGAAAATTGCTATTAATTTCCAGTTATAAATTTTACAATAATAATACAAAAAATATAGAATTATCTATCAGAAAAAGCCAAATTTATGTTTAATCACTTAAAAACTTCACCTACTTCACAAAAATCTGACAAAGGATTACCCATTCTTATTAATTTATTAAGCTGTGTCATGATCAAAATTGCAGGAAATTTTTACATTGTCGGGAAAATGAAAATGACAGGTTTGATGAAACATCCTTTTAACTATAAGTAACTGTAATTATTAATATATAGATATATAAATGTACGATATAATTATTGTAACAAGCTAACGTCTAATTACATCGTATAATAATACAATTACGATAATAATAACATTATGTACAATAATACACAAGTATAATTGATACAAGTTGTTATTATTCTTTCATCATTTCACAGCCGAGCAATACATCAATTAAAATTACCTTAGAATCATTCCATAAGAATGTTGCATAATTTCTACTCGCAGCCAGATAAAATCTGCAAGTTGCGCGTGATTCACGTATGTACATAAGAATACAAACTATTGTGTCTCAAACGATATCTCTGAAAATATTTGCTTGATAACATTTTCCTTCTTTCTTTGTTCTTTTTTCTTTTTTAAGGCACATGTAATTGCAGACGCACAATTATTCAGGCCGCGAACGACCTCGACCCGCTTCTTTCTTCGTCTGGTTATGCGCGAGACAGGCTGACCATTATCTTTAGCGTTCAGCTGGTTCAAGGTGGGATAAATCCTTTCTTTCTTTCTCGACGAACACCTTTCCACATCCGACTAGCAACCGAATTAACTTTTTGTTCAACAAAATCGTAATATTTTCGCAGTTATGATTAAGTACACTTAAGTAAGACAAAATAGACAAAACAAATAATAAGTTTATTGCTTCCCGATAATTTCTATCCGGTGATATCGTACCGACGAGCTCGAGAAGAAAGCGACGAATTATTTTGTGTACGGTTATTGGTCACTCGTTACGGTCCGCAATCGGTTGCCAGCGCAAGTGGTTAAACTCGCTTTTCGCGGGCAAAAATCAATTTTCTCTGGTTTAAGAGATATCTCGTCTGTTTCGTCTGGCGTAATTACATTCAGCGTGTCCTGAATCTAAACTTCGAGAGACCATATAGATTAATTCGAATTAAATGAAGGGAAATACGTCATTTTCGAGACTTGCTTGCGTTTCACTTCGGAGGAAATCGCTAAGAAAGAGACAAAAAAAAAGGTATTGATTTTCTTATTTATTCTATATCTAGCTACAATCAGAGTGGTCAATGTTCGATATAATGTTTGGAGTGTTGCAAGTAGCTTTTTGAACAAGTGATATAGATGATAATGATAATAGATAATATGGACGATAATAGGTGACATAAGTGATAACAGATGATGTTATAAGATATCACGTTGATATAGTGATATTGTAAGAAAAACTTTTCGCTGTTTCCTTTCTCGCGATTTTCTCCAAAATAGAGCAGAAACGAGCAAATCTCTAAAGGACATTGTTTTTCTTTTTTTTTTTAAGTTCGTCAGAAGTTTTCACATTTAAATTCGAGACATTTCCTGTATTTTATATTATTCTTAGTTATATTAATTATATCGATTATGATTCTTACATCTCCTTCTCTGCTTTCGAGATGTAAAAATTTTTTACATTCCAAACGAATCTTTTATTTCAGGATATTGGTACCTCACATAAATCTATTGTGTTAAATAAAAATTCAGTAATTAATTAGTTGAATGCATTTGATTCTAATGACAGTCACAGTTAACGAGAAATAATGAGATTTTTTTATCTCGTGTGTCCGGCCAGCAATAAATATCGTAATGTACTACGATAAACTCCCCCTTCTGAGTTACGCTAATCACATTTTTTTTGTTTAAGAAAAAAAAAAAAAAAAAGAAAAAAGAAATCGATATGAAAATGTTTTCAATTTTGCCGGTCAAAAGTCGATTTCGAAATTTCAAATTTTATCCAAGCTGAAAAATTTTTGACAAACAATTATGTTCGTTAATACATATATAATGCGTTGCCGGAAGTTGGGAATTTTCACAGCTTTGTCCTTGAAATTCTCTGAAACAATTTTTATACGTTCTTAAAGAGTTACGTAAACTTTTTTTTTATCAGTGTGAAAGTTTTCCAGACAAGTACTTTTTATACTTTCGATAATTCTTTTTTTTTTTTTTTGTGTTGTTGTTGTTAGATGTAGAAATCAATTCGATATCCTTCTTTTAGATAAATTTACTCGCCATTTACTTATTGGCATCGCTTTTGGAGTACACAGTTCACGTTATAAAACACGTTTGCACTTAATAGTCGTTCAAATTTTCAATTTTCAAAGTTTTATGACAAGATACCTTTGGTCAGATATATTTAAATTATCGTTGAAAAATTTCATAAATTTCATTATTTATTACTTCGTAAATGTGACGATTTTTATATTAAAACCATCGAACTAATTTTCAGATTATCCAACATGCATCTGTTTTGATCTAAATATGACAGACAGATATAATATCTCGGTGTTTTTTCAAGAATTATTATAATATGTATGAAAAAGCACCAGGAATCATTTTCTTATACTAAACATGGAAAAACGTTATTATTACATCTATCAGTCATGTTTAACACTAGAATTACCAAAATCGATCAATTTATAATTTTTTTAGCGTAGAGTATTTTTAGAAATTTGAATGATTTTCGTAAAATGAAAGTCTTTGTTCTTTATCCTATTAAAAACTTTCTCCTATCACTTGCACTTTAAATTTCTCTGATACAGTTATTTATACTTCAGTCGTGTTAAATACATCTCATCAGATTATTATTAAAAGAATCGATGAAAAAAATTTTCACTGGCAATTTAAACAATTATCGAATAACTATTAAATGAAAACTCCTCTCAAATACAGACTTGCTTTATAACAACAATCATATAACGATCAAAGTGAAACTGTGGATTTTTATGATATTTGAAAAATTTGGAAATTGCAAAATTACACAATATTAAAAGTGCTCTTTTATACATAATTAATAATAAAATTAATTAGTAATACATAATTAATAAGTAAAATTAATGAAGTAATAAAATTAATTAGTAATACATAATTAATAAGTAAAATTAATTAAGTAATAAAATTAATTAGTAATACATAATTAATAAGTAAAATAAATTTTTAACAAGTCCCATTTTTTTAAATTACCTTCATAGACATACAAAATTGCCATCCATTAATAAGTGAATGATTAGTATGTCAAATCTTTTTCGTGCAGAATCAAAATTTTGATTCTAATTATTTCTACTTTGCGGCCCATCCTGTATTTGTTAAAGGAGATCGCAAAAAAAAAAAAAAAAAAAATAAATTTCGCAAACGTCCGCATTTTATCTTTAAAGCAAAATGATTCGGATGGTAGTGTATATATTGATGTTTCCCAAACATCAAACTTTATCATCTACGATTGATATCCGTTGAAAATGATTTAATGGTTTTACTGGTTTTGTTTGGTGATAATTAGTAACGAGATCAAGCAGAATTCTGATTTCTCGCAATACTCTGTTCTTTTCTTCCTTTTTTTTTTTTTTTTTTTTTTTTTTTTTTTTTTTTTTTTTTTTTTTTTTTTTTGTAACGTTTCTCTTTCTTTCTTTATTATTAAATAAATATAACGGGGCGTAAACAACGTGCGTAAGCATTTGCAAAAAAAAATCTCCACTTTGTTGTTACAGATAACGCGTATTCACAATAAGATAATTTCGCGTATCGTATTTGTATATTGATCCCCTTTTAATCTGCATTAGTATGAAAATAACTATATTATTCGAAGATAATTGAATTCGGTTGGCGATGAGTCGTGTCAGTCGTTCTTTTGGGTACAAATACCATAGTTGAATTGTAAACAATTAATAGCAATTTACGCTTGATAAACCGCGAGATATTTGATTACGTGTTTTACATTCTCCGTTGATGAAGATTGGTAACAAAATTCACTGAAGTTAGAAACGCTAAAGCTTAGTGGTAATTTAATTCTAAATATAGTTTCCAATGATGTCACTCTTAATTTAAGATCCTTGTTTTAAATTAAATAAATGTTTTTTTTTCAAGAATCTTCTATAATGTAAATGTTCTTAAAAAAAAAAATTTATTTAATTTAGAATCAGAAAATATTACGCGCGTTGAGAATTTTTTGTCCCAAATTGCGACATTCTCTCAGTTTTAAGTGTATTTAAATGTAACCCAGGCAAAAACAAATAATAAATTTATTGCTTCTCAATCATTTCGATCCAGTGATATGTCATACCGGCGTGTTTGAAAAGAAAGCGACGAATTATTGTTATACGTTATTTGGTCACTCGTTATGGTCCGCAATCAGTTGCCACAGCTTAGTGATTAATAGTACTGTGTAACTTTGAAGCTACGTTATTGGTACGTATGAGTACAATATTCGGATACTAAATATTTGAAACTGTTGTAATTTTGTACAGGAAAAAGTCGCACGATAATTGGGCTCGTTTTAAATTTTAAAGCTTTCACTTTCAAAATGAGTCGTTCGTTCGATTCTAACATTAAGATATTTTAACACTGTGTAACAAAGCGAAGACATTTTCATTCAAGAAAATGCTATAAATTGTAACAGTATGCGAAAGCATTAAGCGAATTTTTTTCACGACTTAATCCGCAACGAATTTGAAGATTACAACGATCTTTCGACTTTTTTTTCCCGCCAATTTATCGAACTTTGAATGTCAGGTGAAAATTTTCATCATCCAACGAATTTTCATCGTCCGAGCATCTAATATTCAGAGTTGAACAAAATAGCAAGGAAAGATCGTACATCAAGTTTCAATCGAGAAGTTTTTGCATATTGTGACAATTTACAGAATTTTCGAAGAGAAAAGTATCTTCACTTATCCACACGTGTTGTAAAAATGTCTTAGAGTAAAATAAACAATGCATTTGGAAAGCAGAGACTTTGAGCTACAAAAGATTCCAGATTCGTTGTTCTACGATTTCTGTTTTACAAAACCATAACAGTTTGTATAAGTCAATCTATATCAATATATATTTTGAGTCTATTTCTAGCTACGATGTCAACGAAATCTTTTTATTTACCCTTTCTTGGTAATCAAGGAGATTATTTATTATGATTGTCAACTTTTGCTTCATCTATACAATGTCTTCTTATAAAAATTTTGGAAAATTATAAATTTATTTGTTAGTTTGTAGATTTGGAGATCATAATGCTCTTTTGTAATCAGGAAGGTTATTAACATTTTAGGAATATTACAAATTCATTGTTAGTTCGTTTCTGGTATTTCAATTCATTTTTATTTTGTATTTAGAGATAACGAGAGAATCTTGTTCTTTGCAACTAAGAGAGTTATTTTCACTTCACGCGTGTGAATTGAAATTTTCGTGAAAATCTGTAAATTTATTTACAAATTTTATGAAATTTTGTCAAAATTTTACAAATTTTTCATTTGAAGATACGTCATTCCAGCGCAAGAGGTTAACCACTTGCGCTGGCAACCGATTGCGGACCATAACGAGTGACCAAACCGTATAACAATAATTCGTCGCTCTTTTTTTGAATTTTGTCGGTACGACATCACTGGATCGAAATTATTGAGGAGTAACAAATTTTTCATTTGTTTCATTTGTTTTGCCTATTCTGTTTCACTTAAATATACTTGAAACTGAGAAAATATTACAATTTTGGAACAAAAAATTCTCGACGTGCGTGACACGTCTTTCCAGCGCAAGAGGTTAACTTGCGCTGGCAATTGATTGCGGACCATAACGAGTGACCAAACCCTATAACAATAATTCGTCGTTCTCTTCCTGAATTTCGTCGGTACGACATCACTGGATCGAAATTATTGAGGAGTAACGAATTTTTCATTTGTTTTGCCTATTCTGTTT